CCAATTTGCCTGCTTCCATGAATTAAGTTACATTACACTTATAACTAATCAAATTCAAAATGACATTGATGAACATAATATTCATTGATTGAATGTAAAGAATAGGCAAAAAATCTAAGAAACTATATTCTTGAACAACTAATAGACATTAGATATCAAATTAACTAGATATATCCAATCTGCAATGTACCAAAAGATTTCTTTACTGAAAAATAAATACTTCTATAAAATAAATTTTATACATCAATGTCATATATTCAATCAAGTTACATAACAATTCTTGTAAGTACAAAACATTAAGAGTAAAAAGTTCACAGAACACACTACAAAGTCAATCAAAGAAATAACTTTAATAATTGTTGATCAAATATCAGAAAAATTAGGAGTACATGAATTTGATCTTAATTTGATCCTTTCATAACTGTTAATCTAGTTATTTAACCTATTATTAGTTTATATACACAATAATTTAACCAAGTTTGTTTTGCTTATCGTGTGCTTGTTTATAATTTGTTTACATACTATGTACTTTGTGTTTAAAAAAATCGAAAACGTCTTGTTAAAATACATTCCTACGATCCCACTGGCGGGGTTCGAACCCGTGGATGCTTATTGCTGAGGAGTCACATACTAGGATGAAACGACCGTTCAGCGATTCCAGGTTTTCAGTGGTGATCTAGATTTGATTGACTCATGATCTCAACCATTAAAATTGCTATTCAATCCAAAAAAACCCCTTTCTGATAAAAGTACACTAGTTTTTTTTAAAATTAGGATAATAAAGATTAACATGAAAATTTCTATTATATAAGACAAATATATTCAAGTTGTTCAGTGAAACTGACTTAATTTATATATATTTATTAGTGGGCTATTTAAATTTCATTATACATTTTAATAAGGTAACTCCACCTGCAGCTCTCCTAGAATTACTACCGGTCCTAACCTTGGATAAAAAAGGAGGGTTGAGCATGGGGTTAGCGACCCCATCCTGTAGAAAACTAACTCGCTAAAAAACGCCAACGAGAAAAAATAATTCAAACCATTTAAACTCTGCCCTGGTTGTTAGAAGGTCTTCATTTAGAAGAAATATGTCGCCTTATGGTGAAAGCCGAGTTCCTTCGGAATCCATGAGGCCGATGCCCCTTCTAACAACCAGAGCAACAATTTTTATAGATACATGGAACGTTTGGACAATGTGGGAGACCAGGAAGATCAGTTGAATAGCAACGGAAATGAGGAGATACAACTTGGTAGTACTGGGAATCAGCGAAACCCACTGGACTCAATTTCGACAACAAAGGCTAAGTACGGAAGGACAATGGAAGATGTGAGAAGCAGGAGAAGAGCTGACATAGCTTCAGATCACCACCTAGTTCTGGGCAATTTAAAACTGAAGCTAAAGAAGAACTGGACAACTGGACAAATAGCACTACAAAGGTTCAATACAGCCTTCCTTCGAGATACTGACAAACTCAATGAATTTAAGATAGCTCTCAACAACAGGATCCAAGAAGCATTAACTTCAATGTGTCAAGAGGTTCTAAGCCTAAAGAAGCATCATCTTAAATAATGGATCTCTATAGAAACACTGGACAGGATCAAAGACAGGAAGAACAAGAAGACAACAATTAACAGCAACCGAACACCAGCAGAGAAAGTCCAAGCACAAGCTGAATACATAGAAGCAAACAAACAAGTGAAGAGAAGCATTAGAGCCGACAAGAAGAAATACGTTGAAGAACTAGCAACGACGGCAGAAAAAGCTGCTAGAGAAGGAAATATGAAACAGATTCACGATACAATGAAGAAACTAGCAGGGAAATATGGTAAACCAGAGAGACCGGTCAAGGACAAAGAAGGCAGGTGAATAACTGAAATTCAACAACAGCGGAACAGATGGGTAGAATACTTCGAGGAACTCCTGAATAGGCCGGCTGCAATGAATCCACCGAACATCGAAGCAGCACACACAGATCTTCCCATAGACGTCAACCCACCAACTACGGAAGAAATTAGAATGGCCGTCAGACAAATCAAGAGAGAGAAAACAGCAGAACCCGACAATATACCTGCTGAAGCACTGAAGTCAGACACCGAAGTAACTACAAACATGCTTCACCTTCTATTCAAAAAGATTTGGGAGGAGGAACAAGTGCCGATGGACTGGAAAGAGGGACACCTCGTCAAGATTCCAAAGAAAGGAGATCTGGGCAAATGTGAAAACTACAGAGGCATTACAATACTGTCAGTACCAGGGAAAGTCTTCAACAAATTGTTGCTGAACCGGATGAAGGGTGCAGTAGACGCCCAACTTCGAGATCAACAAGCTGGATTCCGTAAGGATCGGTTATGCACAGACCAAACTACGACACTACGGATCATCGTCAAACAATCAGTTGAGTGGAACTCGTCACTGTACATCAACTTCATTGATTATGAAAAGGCATTTGATAGTGTAGATAGGAGGACATTATGGAAACTTCTTCCACACTACGGCGTTCCTGAGAAGACTGTCAATATTGTCCGGAACTCATACGACGGACTACAGTGCAAAGTATTGCATGGAGGACAGCTGACAGATGCTTTCCAAGTAAGGACCGGAGTCAGACAAGGCTGTCTATCCTCTCCCTTCCTCTTTCTTCTGGCGGTCGACTGGATTATGAAGACCTCGACATCTGAGGGAAAACGCGGAATACAATGAACAGCTCAGAATCGATTAGACGATTTGGACAGCCAGTGTAGTAGCAGTCTCTGCATCAGTAGGCCTCAGCATACACAAGGAAAAAACCAAGGTCCTCAAATACAACACGGAGAACAGCAATCCAATCACTCTTGATGGCGAAACTCTGGAAGATGTAGAATCCTTCACATACCTGGGAAGCATCATCGATGAACAAGGAGGTGCAGATGCAGACGTAATGGCGAGGATCGGCAAAGCAAGGGTCGCATTCCTACAACATATGGAACTCAAAACAACTTTCAACCAATATCAAAGTAAGAATCTTCAATACGAATGTCAAGGCAGTTCTACTGTAGGGAGCTGAAACTTGGAGAACCACAACAACTACTGTCAAGTAGGTACAAGTATTTATAAATAGTTGTCTACGCAAGATACTCAACATCCATTGACCGGATACCATCAGTAACAGTCTACTGTGGGAGAGAACAAACCAGCTTCCAGCTGAGGTAGAAATTAGGAAAAGACAAGGGAACGGATAGGACATACATTACTCAAATGATCAAACTGCATCATCAGACAAGCCCCAGCTTGGAATCGTGAAGGGAAGTGGAAAAGAGGAAGGCCAAGGAACATACTACGTCGGGAAATAGAAGAAGATATGAAAAGGATGAAAAACAACTGGAAAGAGCTGGAAAGGAACGCCCAAGACAGGATTGGATGGCGAGTGCTGGTGGGAGGCCTATACTCCTTCGCGTCGAGTAACAAGCGCCTGGGGGGTAACGTTTTAACAAAGTATATTTCATTTAAATAGATTATGTTTATATATAAGCGGACAATATTGTTTTTGATTGGATCTTCATCAGGCTTTACTCTAAAATACAGTAATATTTATATACATATATGAAATTATTAAACCAATCAAGACAGTTTATGAGTCAATGATAGCAGTGGAATATATTTCATAAATAAATATGAAAAGTGAAAAGTACAAATGGGTAGTGGGATGACAGGTGTACTAGTTGTGATAAATATAATAAAGGCTTGAATCAATGTTACATAATGGGAAATAGGTCAATGATTAGAAAAACATAGACGCTGAAATAACGTAAGAAGAAGCGTTCAGATAATTGAACCATGAAATGTAAATTTAAGAGAAAAAAACAAAGTGATAGGGGGGGAGAATGAAAATAAACGAATACATTTATAAGCAATGATGAATAGTGGCTAAAAGTGGAATCCAGGACGCGCGTTTCGTCATACGCACAGTATGCACATATGCCAATAACAGACTGATCAATTGCAGTCTTAAACCTCAATGGGAAGATACAAACCAAACAATACCAAGTGAAGATAATTATTATTAAAGCCAAGGGAGAGATAAGGGTGTTAAATAAGCTGTCTTGATTGGTTTAATAATTTCGTATATGCATATGAATATTACTGATGAGGTTCTAATCGAAAACAATATTGTTCGCTTATATATGTTGTTCTAAATCACAATGTGGGAATTTTTCAAACAAATTATAACTAAAATCAAATTAGATTTTCAATTGAACTGTTTATAAGGACTTGTTCAAATTAACATAAGTTTTTTTTGTTACAAATGAATATCAACTAGGGAATTATTGAAATGATATTACACTTGATTATTATATGCATTCATTTATGGTTGAACTGTGAACATTTAATTCACTGATATGCATTTATATTATGCTATATACATCTTCATCATTGTTGTTCTCTTAGACAAGTTAACGTTTTTTTTAATCGTTCATAATAAGAGGACAATTTCTATAGACTAGTAATTTGGTCTATTTTAAATTAACTGTAAGAAATGATCATATCTGAATATCATCTCACACGACTATCATGTAAGTCATCTGATATGTAATGTACAAATTTGAAACTTATTTTGCCAGTACACAATTGATATCACTCATAACTAAATCCAGGAAGAGGAGGCACTGTACTTTAAATTGTGAGATTCCACCCTAGAATTTATTGGTCTCGCGTGCGAGCACTTAACCACTAAACCACTGAGCCGGCATTCAACAATGTTAATGTCTAACTTCAACTAATCCATGAAATTGAGTGGCATATCCAACATTGTCATCAGTGAGTTACTACCTCAAAACTAAAGAGTCCCATAATAGGATGAGACAGCTGTCCAGTTCTTCCAGGTTTTCCATGGTAGTCTAGCTTCAATTAACTCATGATCTCAACCATTTAAAGTATTTAATTCTTTAAAATTTACTATATTAGATAATAATATAAATAATAATAATAATAATAATAATAATAATCGAAATATACTTACTTGAGTTAATGCAATTGTATTATTTGATCGATCAAGTGGTAACATACAAGATTTTTTAATAAATGCACAAGATTTTTGTGAATATGTTAAAAATTTTATAAAAAATTGTTTATTTTTTAAATAATGAAATAATTTTATTTTTTTATTATTAAAACTTGATGTTGTTGTTGTGGTTGTTGCTTCCATAGTTACATTGGTTTTATTGTCAATTTCATTTAAATTGACCGAGTCATTTTTTGTTTTTTTATTTGTACAATTAACTTTATTATTAATATGATTGTAATTATTATTATTATTATTGTTATTATTATTATTCATAGAAGTATCATAATCATTCATTTTTGTATTGAATGGTGGAAGAAGAATACGTTTACGTCGACGACCATGTGAATGTGTTGGATTTACAATTGGATCATTATCAACTGGTTCATTTTGTTGTAAACTATTATTATTTATAAATTTATTCATTTGTTCTATTTGTTTATTATTATTATGATTATTAAATATTGAAGCAGAACAAAATCGTTCACAACTTGTTCTACATGTACGTGAATAAATTACACGAAATATATCAGCTAAATAATCACCAATATTAGAAAGATATAAGAACATTAATGGGATTCCAATTAATGCATAAATTATTGTCATAAATTTGCCTAGATTTGTTTTTGGAGTAGCATGACCATAACCTAAAAATAAAATAGAGTAAAAATATGATAAGATTTTTCTATGTAAAGAAATAAGAAATAAGAAAGATTAGTTCAGCGAAGAGTTCTCTTCTCGGCGAATTCATTTTCAAAGCTGTACAATCAAACAACCAGACTGCATCTTCTCTGAATTGCCGAATCAATAGCCATACATCTGGAAAAACCAGAATTGTGTGTGCAAAAGAGACTGTTACAACCTCTTCTTCTACCATGGTCTTAATGTATTAAAATTTTCTCTCTTTTTCATACTCATGTTTCTTTGCAGACATCTACATCACCTTCTATCTTCCCTTTAAATCTTCTACCCCCAACTGGTTTGTTTTTAATTCCACATTTCATCTCTGTTTCAACATTTTATTTTATCATGCTGAGCCATCCTTTCCCAATCATAATTTTCCTATCTTTTGATGAATACTGAAGCCAATAACAATCAAACGATTATTAAACTTTCCTTGTTTTAAAATTTTTTTTGTTTTTAATACCTTTGTTTATTTAACCTCACTGTCACCATGTATAATAGAAGTTTATTATCAGTATTATTATCATCCTGTAAAAACAAGTATATATATTTGCGATTGTATAGCTTTGAAAATGAACTCGCCGAAAAGAGAACTTTTCGCTGAACTAATCTTTATTATTTAATGTCTTAATGGGTGTATTCCGTTTGTTAAATAAGAAATACTCATGAATAAATATCAGAAATGATAAACGTATCATGATTTTTAGCACCATTATAGTTAAATGTTTGAGTAATTTAAGTAAAATTGTAATCTGATGCAAAGCATTATATTAACTCTTTGTGATGCATAATAACGGCAACTACTCTATGTGTCATTAAAAAAATCATATTTAAACGTTAACTGTCTTATACAGATAGCAAATATTTGGTAAAACTAAAGCAAGGAGCATGTAAAATAAAAATGGAAAATATGTTTCTAATCAAGTGAATACTTAGAAATATCAGAATACTATTTTGGTGGTGTTTTGTTCTCTGAGCTGGATGGTTTGGTCGTGGAGCTTTCATCGTTTTTCTGAACGACATCATCCACACAAACTTCAGATAGAAGTGAAGTGTTCGAATTTCAGAATACTATTACCAGTTTCACACAGGATAACATAATATCTTATGTTACAGTATGTACTGTTGGTAAAAACTCAAGTAACGAGAAATAGTTTGTCATAAACGCATCAATTAATCAATAATATACACTGATACTTCAGTGAATAACTTCCAACTATTTGTCCTTTATCATAGCTTTATTTGAAATATGCTTGATCCTGATAAATACGATGGCTAGGTTTATTTAATATAAATCAAGTATTTGATTCTACAAATTGGAATATCTATTCAATATATGTAAACAAAAATAAACCATAATTTGTTTAATCATACAACCTACTACATTTTATCTGAAATCTGGGAGGTAAAGAACGAAATATGCGAAAAAAAATTATAACAGGAAAAACTTTTGAAATGAAGAAAATGAAGAAAAAGTTTATGATTATCTTTAAATAAACAATGATATTTGACAAAGAGCCCACGATGAAATTAAAACGAACACTATAGAAAAGCAAAAATTCACTGATTTGTAAATAACCGTGTATCGACAATAAATGATAAACTATAAGAACATATGAATAATTCTAGAGAAAGAAAACATGGTTAATCCGATTCTCATTTCATCGTATTGTTTTAGTTACAGGGTTGTTTTTCATCTACTCACATAATTTCATCAAGAAATACAAATAATAAATAAGGAGTTCTATTTTTTTCCGCACCCCTAAATGCTCTGGTACAGCTGAGAGTGAGTTGAATCAGCTCTCGCTCTCGAAATGCTCTTATATGACCACGCGTATACAGCCACTGACAGGGAAATCCTGCTCACTAAATTCTCGTGGTGGAGGGTACTGTTTACGAAAGTGAAAGGACAAAAAAGCGAATGCCCGGCATTTTAACTGAATTGTTAGATATGGAGGATCCACGTGATTCCAAACCAATGGTACATATGAGCTCCAGAATCCTGAGGGGAAAAAAGTAGCGTATGAAACAATTATTAGTCGCCGGCTACCATGGGACTGCATCTCCTGAATTCGCTTCATTGTTTTTTGGATCAAACCTTCAGGTCGAAGTCTCCGAGTGTAGCCCTATAGGATAACTACCTACTTTGGTTTGGGCACCCGGACAAATATCACAACCCACATACAAATCAAGTAACTTGTGCAACGCATATACATTCATCACCTCTTTGTATGAATATTTATGTATTCGAATGAATAAATAAATAATTTTTTTCCATTAAAAAAAGAATAATTTCTGAAAATATATGATAACTTATTGCTAAGATTTCACTAGTTTACTTATGAGACAGTTAATTATTGTTCAGATTCAGGTTTGTGTAGTAAGGACAGAAGGCCTACAGCCTATGTTATTCCTTTTCTAGTATGCTTCTGTGAGTGTCCAGTCTTCTCTTGAAAGAGTCAATTGAAGGTGCGGACACGACTGCTTCAGGCAGCAGGTTCCAAGTATTGATGACGCGGTGTGAAATCCTGTATGCCATCGGTATTTTGTTCGTTCTTGACTTTTCTACTCGCCTGCTATGTCCTTTAAGGTGTCCCGATCTAGTCATTACAAAATACAAAGAAAATGTTTGTTTTTCTTTATATTATATTATCCCCTTTATTTAATTTCCAAAGAAAATCAATTCGATTTACCGATGACAAATCTTAAACAATCAGTGAATTACTTTACCTGTTAACTAATTAATATGATAATATAGAGATAATTTCCTTTTATTTAGAGGCCTATATACATATCTATATATTCTAGATGTTATTAGAGGAAAAGTGAATAAGTTGTATGCAGGAATATCATTCACTTTATTTATTTCATTATCAGTAAATGGATACATTTTATTTCTTATTTAACATTGTTGCTAACAGAATGTATCTTTTCATTTTATATGACCGAAAAACAGAAAAAACAAAAAAACAAAATTATAAACTATATATATGTATTTACAGTTATTGATTAGACACAGAGAATGATGTTACTATAGTTGATTTTTACATTTATACTACTTAGTTAATTTATAATCTTTCATAAGAAATAATATTAATTGTTTTGACTGTATCTAACTCATTTTAACATTAATATATGGTAACTAATTCAACTGTTTGTTATAATGGTAGTTCAAAAGAATTTATATTAATAAAAAATTATTCTCAGAAGGGGTTTATGGAGATTTTAGAAATTTTCACAGATTGAAATCATGAGTTAATTGAAGCTAGACCACCATGGAAAACCTGGAAGCACTGGACGGACGTTTCGTGGATTGGTTGAAGTTAGATATTAACACCGTTAGATGACGGTCGGCTCAGTGGTCTAGTTGGTTAAGCGCCTGGCGCGAGAGACTGATAGGTTCTGTGTTCGAATCTCGCGGGTTGCAGGATCGTGGATGCGCACTGCTGAGGAGTCCCATGCTAGAATGAAACGACCATTCAGTGCTTCCAGGTTTTCCATGTTGCTTTAGCTGACTCATGGTTTCAATCTGTGAAAAGTTATTCATGATAATTGATTATGTGTAGCCATTGAGAATGATTAGGTATATACATTTCACATATTTTTCAATATATATATCTAATCTATATAATCAATACGAAAAAAATCAGATATTATTATAAATATATAAAATATGCAGTAAAACCCTTCAGACTAATAATGATGAAATTATCTTATTACAATTTTATTAGAATGTATATTTTAGAACTGGATACCTAGTTCGTACATTGTACCTAACAAGTAATAAACAATGATTTCAATCAACTAAACACAAGCTTTTTGTAAGCGATGATGGATAGTAGCTTACAAAAAGCTTGTGAATTGAGCAATATGGAGGCATACGCACAGTATGCACATATGCCAATAACAGACTGATCAATTGCAGTCTTAAACCTCAATCTGGAGATACAAGCAAAACAATACCAAGTGAATTTAAATTCACTCCATTGCACAAGCAACTGGCTATCAGGACTCAGTAGTTGGGTGAATAACGCGATAACGTTTGAAGCGAATGGTACTGTGTTCGAATCCCAGAGTGACCATCAACTCTGAGATGTAGGTACATCCAACTGACGAGTCCCAAATAGGACGAAACGCGAGTCCTGGGTTCCACTGCTAGCCAATATCCATTAATGCTTACAAAAAGCTTGTGAATTAAGGCAATATCGAGGCATACACACAGTATGCATATATGCCAATGATCAATTGCAGTCTTGAACCTCAATGGGAAGATAAAAGCCAAGCAATACCAAGTGAACTAAACAAAATTTGTTTTTTTTGAGAAATATTTATATGACTTTGATGCAAATCATAGTATCCTTTATATACAGTGCAGTATAATTGATTAGTAATTTCTTGTTATATCTATCAAGTCAAATGCTTTATTTATAGTTTAATGCTAACTAATAATTGATAAATGGCTTTTATAATGTTAAATAAAGATAAGATAATGCTAGAAAGGAATTCATTTCACTTGTAGTTAGAAAACATGATGTCCAGTGAATTGTATCTAATTAATTGTCAAAGACTATATATAAAGAAAAACTGAACTATATTATTGTTTATATTTTAGTGAATATTCAATATTTATCACCTATTGTGTTACTATGTATTATGGTTAATATCATAAATTGGTAAACAATTAGACCGTAACCACAGTGATATTTAAACACAAGGCTATAACTGGTATTTACTGACTTCAGTTAACAGTATAAATACTATTTAAATATTATTTTCATTTAAAATGAACTAATCCATGGTGTAAAATAGGCGTAGAAGTTATTTTTAATCTTATCTTTTATGGCTTTTTGGATTCAACTTTCAGTAACTTTATCTCATGTTGTTTGATGTAAGCACACATTGTATTATTAACTTTATATGGAAAATATTTAACATCTCATTGACTTACCACTATATACAGAAG